TTTCTCTTGGTCAGTGTCATCGTGTTTAATGAACCTGGATTCTATGACCCTTTTCATATACCAGTTGTGGTTTGGTTTGGTTTAGTTTTTTCTTTAGACATGTTTGTAACCTGACCTGCCAAAAGGAAGATGAAGATGAATCTGAATTGAAGACGCTCATCCCCCAAAACGAGAGCTGGGAGATTAACATGAGAAATGCAAGCAAATGTTCTGAGCAATCCCCAATAACTCTACCTTATCGATCTAGGATTACCCACTCCAGTTTACACCAGGCCTGCAGTTGTATGTTCCAGAAATTGCACTTTTAAAAAGGGCAAGCCCAGGACAAAAATAAACAAACTGATTAACTGAATGAATAAATAGTGATTATAATTAATGATCTGTAAAATAAGGTGCCTCCTCTGAAACATTAATTGATCCCTCTGGGCCTAAACTATACTCACATAGAGAAACCATACCAACATACTTTTTCATCTTCCTTCTTCTCTCTCCAGCAAAAATAAGAAACAACTATCAGAATGGAGATAGGAGAAGAAAAAGAGAATTATCAAACTGGGCAGCACAGGGCGGGAAGAACAAAATGGGTAGAAGTGAAGCAAGGGGGAAGAAGTACTGAAAAGAGGAAAGAAAAACCTATAAAGGGGGTAAAATCCTCCTGCAAAATAGCATTTCCAAAGCGAGAAGTAACATTTAGACTAGTTTCCAAGCCAGAATGTTAACCAGAAATGAGGAATCTGAAACAAAAAGTTTAATACTTCAGACACATCATAAGACTTGATGCGTTGAAAGGCTGAAGGAGAAGATGAGGCTGACAGTGCATCATGCAGATAGTCAGAGTACTGAAAGTCATTGAAATGCACCTGCAAGAACTCCATAATGGCAACAGATAGGACTGTTTGAAGAACTTTTCTCCAGAGGCAACAGATGTTTGCTATGACACAATAGCTCATAACTACAGCCATCTCTAAAGGGGTTTGAATAGCCCGTCAAATTTCACACACTTTCAGACAGAGGACTATTTTCTGACAGTCCTTCAGAGAGAAAGATGTTCTCTGTAAAAAAAATACTAGCAATAGCAATATAAACCACTTACATACCACTTTACAGTGCTTTACAGCCCTCTCTAAGCGGTTTACAGAGTCAGCATATTGGCCCCCAACAATCTGGGTCCTCATTTTACTGACCTCGGAAGGATGGAAGGCTGAGTCAACCCTGGTGAGATTCGAACTGTCAAATTGCAATCAGCTGATAGTCAGCAGAAGTAGTCTGCAGTACTGCATTCTAACCACCTGCGCCACCAAGGCTCTTACTAGAGTAGTTCCCTCGTAACGGTTATTGCTTTTTATTATTACTTTTGTTTTAATTCCAAAATGTGGGAAGCCTGCTTTGCTGTATTAGAAGCCCTCCTGTTCATTCTGCTAAGTGGGGCTCTGGATTTCTACGCCAGAGTCTTAACCTTAAGAATACAAGCAATGAATCAAATTCTGTTTGTGAGTGAAATTATGAGTTGTGGGTTGGAGTAAGTATTTTTTTTTCCCCCACTCACAGATAGCTTCTCTGTTTCAGATTTATCTGGTTGCTTTTTCTGCAACAGATGCAGAATGCAAGACTTACTACCTGTATGGAGAAAAACTAATGCTGGAAAAACGGAAAGTATTTTTATCTCTCTGCTGATATTTTTTTGCTCCAAATGGGATTCTCCTGAAATCACTCATCTTCAAAAGTATAGTTTTTTTTATATACATATATATATCTGCTTAATTCAGGAATGAGCAATCTATGACCTTTTTGCAGCAGCTGTGACTATGATTGCTGAAGCCTCAATTTCCCACTGTTTTGAGTGAGGAATAGTGTGAATGCCATCACCCTAGTCACTTACAGGATGACTTTAACCAGCCAACTTTTATTGTGCCAAAATAACATAACAGGAACAGATGAGCTTTAAATCTCCTCAATGATTAATTGGATGAAACAAACAAACAAAAAATGCTGTAAGCGACAGGGAGGAAATGGCTTAAGGCGTGAAAATTGTAGTATAAGCTCTGAAAATTTTCACACTCTTGTTGAAAAAGGAATTTCTCAACAAATCCAAATCTTTTCAAATGACTGGTGGGTCTTCATATCTACTCTGCAACTCTCAACCCTCTTCCAGCGGTGGTCCTTGGCCACCGAAAAGCCACCCAAACATCACGTGCCTGGTCAGCCATGAATTTTCCTGGAAGATCATTTTGAAATAGGTATGAAATTTGATGCTGATAATTTGCCGTCTGTCATTTGTTAACCATCTGAGCTGCTGTTCTGCTCTCCAGAACTGTTGGGATTGCAGTAACTGTGCCAGTTGGGAATTTGAGGGCTTGTAATTCTAATACATTGGGAGATTAGAGAAGCCTAACTTCTAGGTTTGAAAAAAAAATTTTTTTTTTACAAGTTCTCTTG